ACCAGCTTACCAATAAGATGAACGAATGAATTCTAAAGAAAACAAGTTCCCGCTAGCGGAACTAAACCTTCGACTGGCAACACAAGAGCAGCTACACCTGCCATTACATCATAACAACTAACAATAACGATTCACGTCAAAAAGTTGAAAAATCTTCCGTATTCATGCTACATCAGAGGCTGAAAAACTCAAAAGCAGCCCAAACTGTAGCAAAAAGCAACACTAACTGCTGCTGGCAAGGCTCTCGGCGGATCTCCTCTGAGGTTTACTTAGAAGTTGCTAGGCTCCCTGACCCACATCAGTACTAATTTACCATCAGAACGAATCGTAATGGGATTGATTGTCCCGCTGGCCAATTTGAACCTTCAACCTTCTGTACAGCAGCTGCACAACTTCCCGCTGCGTTAAACACATCCACCGTAACAACATATCTTCATAATTAATTCGAATTTTTAGCCACAGGGCGAAAAAACTATGCAATATCGGTCAAGGTACTATGGGAGTGGAGAAGTTGCAAGATGCAAGGATGGGGAACCACGCAATGAATTAGCAACTTTTCAGCAAATGAATACGACCCACAAAAATTGAAGCAAAGCTTAAAGCACTGAAAAATGAAATCAGTGTGCTGCTTACTTCGAGAACAAAGCAAAATTTGATGCTCGAGGAGAAAGCACGTGAAAAGACGAAGGAATTTATCAACGGTGAGCAAATCGAACAGAGCGCTGATCGTGTGATCGAAAAATGGCAGCTCATTGGGACCGGGTCTTTGCAGCACAATATCAATGTGATCCAAGCAAATCTTCAGCGTACTACCAGGCGCTGGCAAAGGCACCTGTAACACACAGATGCAATGCTGCTGGACAAAAAAATGCCAATACTGGGCAAAAGTGCCTAACTGGCTGATCCCAACAAGTCCTTTTCTGATGTTCCTGTAACTGTCGAAGTAAAAAAAGAAAGTCTAAACCATTCTGTACCGATACATGTGTGACTTATTCCAAAATAATAACAATAATTATTATAATAATAATGACAATAATAATAATAATAACAACAATAATAATAATGACAACGATAATGATAACAACAATAATAATACTGTGTTATTTTACCACTCTGAATCACTCGCTGCTTCATAGTAGCGCACCTTCTGGTCATTATAAAGCAGTAGTTTTCTCTATTTTGAGTTACTGTCACTCAAATCACTCCGTGTGAGTGTTCAAATGTGTCGATCGTCAGCACTGACACCCTTCACTTACTGACAGCGAACATCATTCAGCAATCAGATTCTCCAAGTGCCGTATTCTGCTCTTTGATCACAAGACCATCCCAGCTCTTCTTCCCGGCGATAATACTACTTACGCTAGACTGGAACTGCAGCATTTCGTCGGATCTTCACAACACCCATCACGTGCTGTTCTGAATCTCTCTGGATTATCGGAAAATTATTCGTCGCAGCAACCTAGTATCCCGTGTTTCATTTTCACACGTTAGAATCGGACGCTTCGAGAGACTGAGCCGGTGATATCTGTCATAACTGTCACAAATCTCCAGCCCCAACAAAAACGATGCAAAAAAAAATGCGCGAGAAAGTTTTTGACAGACCTCATTTAGAATCCAGTAGATGTAGCTTTCTAGTGGAAGCGGTGGTGGTTGTAAATCAGACGAGAAGACTGAGTGCAGCGCAGTCAAGAGGCGTTCACCGGCACAAACAAAT